ACGGATACGGTTGGCCACCGTATCCTCTACTATCTCGCGGTAGGTGCACCTTTCCATTATTGTTAATAGCGTGCGATCCCGAGCAGCGTGCGCGAAGGGATTAATTGTTGCGTGCGAGCGGTTAGTTCGCGGCGATCGCGGTTTTCTCTCTCTCTCTCTCGTACAGCGTATGTTGTCATTCGCGCTAGCGTGCGCAAGTCTCGGCAAAACCCCCGTGTAATTGATTTGCCTGAATAAAGTGAACGATAGTCTTTACCGAATCTAGTCATCGTTATTTTGTCTTTCCTTTGTCTGGAGGTCGCGTCTGTTTACATTTAATTCGAATTAGCCGGTAGCGTAGCACGGATCACGCGGATACCGGTAGACGGGAATCGTCAACATAGTTTCCAGCAGCGGCCGCGCGAGCGCTACTAAGCAAGGGCGACAGCGCCGCCAAGCGGCGAGTGGGGGAACCTAACTCAGAGTAGCGAAGAGACTCTGCGCAGGCGCACTCCAAGACAAGGTAGGTTGATGTGCTTCGAGCACATAGATAACTAGGCGTCGTTTAGTCATTATAGAGGTACGTTCCAGAGATATTACAGGCTAAACGGCGGCCTGTTACACAGTAACTAATAAAAATAAATAGTCGTGCGACGATTCATTTTTTTTAGAATCACAAGAGCTTTCTTTTAAGAGTCAAAAACATTAAAAAAAGTTCTTTTTGCAATAAATATTCGATATAGTAAAAATGGCCATTTTTAAGGGTTTTTGGGGCTTTTTTCAATAACTAACAAACGAAAAAAATTGCACGACAGCTCAAATTGTAGCTTTTGCTATTGCCTACAACTTTTATACGAAACTTTTAAAGCTAAAATGCATACCATGGCTTGCAGATTGAAAAAACCATATTTCGCCAACTTTGAGCGCTCATAAAAAAAACTAACAATAAATTAGGAGTTGCATTTTATCAAGAGTTCCTATTTACATTGTACTGAAGCGATTTTCGTCGAGAACACCCATCCCGGAATTTTTGTCTGAAACAGGCCTTTTTTGTCTCTGTTGATTGGACTATTTCGGGAATATTTAAAGATTGAAAAGCCGTAAGAACAACGTTGGTCACGTTTATTGGATTTATTTGAATATTGAATTCTATAAAATTAATTAATTACTTCTAATAAAATTAAAATTAAAGTCTATTTTTAAATAAGTAACTATAAGTATTCAAATATAATACTCGTATATATAATCAAATAAGAATTACATCTAAAAAAATTGTAATTAAATTATTAAATTTATATGTATATTTATAAGACTTACCTTTATAGTAATAATAAAAATAAAATCACCAGCTTAAATTTATATACGACAATTATCTTTTAATAACAACACAAAATAAGTTTTTCAAAAACAAATATTAAAAATGATTAAAACATTTAAATCTACCAAGCACGAAAAATAGATTGAACGTTTTTAAGACGTATAAAATATTAAAAATATCATCGAAGTAATTTATTTGATGATATTATACGACAAAGCGATAAGCATAAAAAATAAAACAGAGAGAAAGATAAGATAAACTTTATGTACATACTGACTACATTATCAATTCTCAAGATAAGATACGATGGTAAAAATAGTCTGAACCAATATATTATGGTTATTTTGTATAGTAAACATTTTTAAAACTATTTTGCTTTATATATTATATTATTAACATAAGCTGACATACACACACTCTAACGGGAAAAAGTCTCGTTGACATAAAATTAATATATGAGGATTTGCAGATAACGCAAGTAAAGAATCCGGGCTCGGTTAGGCAGGAACAGCTCGGCTCGTTAGGTATTGTCGAGGGCGTGGTTGCTCCAATGCCAGGTCGCGGCGTAAGACTCGCTCGCCTAAACGCGAGATTAAAAGGTCGAGGAGATAGGCGGAAGGACGAAATAAAGCGGACGCGCGTTAAGAAATTAGCGTGTTATTTATTAGAATAACGAATGAATGTTGATAAAATAATATAAGAGTGGCGAAGCAAAAGGAGAGAGAGAAAGCAAGAAGATGAATTGGGAGAGAGAGTGAGGTACGTAACAGTACTTACCAATTGCTGCCCCTTGAAGATCGGCTCGCAATAGGCGCTCGAATTACAAACTGTAATTAAATAATAGGCCGGCGCCGGTGGCAGGAGGCCGTCACTCACACACTCCACGCACGCACGATTAATCAGCTCAAAACTCTCACACACTACATACTCTAGATCACGCTGTCCAGGATTTGCAACCTCAAGACACAAATTAGATCGACAGCTAACACATGCTCTCGCGTTGAAGAACGATAGCCGAATCTGCCACGCCAAGAGAATCAAGTGCCCTCCTCGCGGTCCGCGCGGTCGATGGTCGAACAGTCTCTCTCTGTCTCTCTTTCTCTCTCTTCTCTCTCTCTTCACTTTCTCTCTCTCTCTCTTCTCTCTCTCTCTCTCTCTCTCTCTCTCTCTATTATCTACCTTACTTCAACCTGCTGAAATTAAAATGACATAATATACATTTAGCTTATATTAATAAATAAGAATATGGGAGAGAGACATAACGAGTAACATTCACACTCGTTATAACACACACACACACACACACACACACACACATACACATAATTACTATTACTATATGTAGATGATTATTATAAATTACTAAATTTATCATCATCATCATCATTATTATTATTATTATTATTAAATTACTACTACTACTACTACATTATTTAACTCGATATATGTATTATTATAAGACAAAATCAGGTGTAAACATTTTATTGAATAAATTATGTTTACTCTAAACCTCTTACTGTAGAGTTTTATTTATATTATTCTTGAAAAACTTTTTTTTCAGTCTATAATTTTCCAATATAAAATAACTTAATAGGATAGGTTTAAGATTTCGGAGTTATGGGTTTGTGAGTTTGTGAGTTTAGGCCTTGAGATTTGGAATTCATTGTTTAAGAGTTTATGAGTACTGCCTTCGGAATTTGTGAGTTTGAGGTTTGAAGTTTATAGGATTAAAGTTTGAGTGTATGTGGTTTTACGAATTTAAGGTTAGGGGTTTGTGATTTATGAGTATGGAGATTGTGGTAACTAGGTTTGGGGTTTGTGAGCTTGGGATTTGTTGACTTGGAGTTTATAATTTCAAAAATTTGAGATTTGTAGGTATGGAATTTATGGACTTGGGTTGGTAGGCTTGAGATTTGTAGGCTTGCTATTTGTAATTTCGGAATTTGGGGTTTTTGAACTTATCGGCTTGAAGTTTGTGGGCTTGGGATTTATGGACTTGGCGTTTGTGGGTAAAAATATATTTTAAAAATATGGTTTTACCCCCATAAAATATAAGGTGTGCAACCCTCCTTATTCGAAATCAATATAGTTTCGTTGTTTGTTTTAAGAAAATTTTTTTCTATTTTATTTTATTAAAAAGTTTCAAATAAAACTAAAGATACTGAAAAAAATGTGATAATGAAGGTAACTTACGGGGGTGGTTTCTATCCACTAGAAGTGAAAATTAGCCGAAAAAATACGTATCACCTATTTTTCAATGCACCATATCAACCACAATTTTATAAAAACCGAGGATTCATTTATGGTGTTAGTTATCTATATTACTTTATAATAGGGTTAAGGGGTAGTTCACCACGTAATAAAAGATTATGCGGAAACACCGAAACAGGTCACCTTTTTTTGTCATTTTGTATTTGAAAAACATTTTTTTTTTATTTTTGTAACAGTTCTGTAAAATTTTACACGAAAAAAATACTAGGAAAATACAGTTTTACCCCTATTAAATTTAAGGCTTGCAACCCTTATTATCAAAACCTATATGGTTTTATTGCGGTTTTCATGGCGATTCTTTTCCATTTTGTTTTACTGAAAAATATTAAACAAAACTGAAGATATTGAAAAAAATGTGATTTTGAGGGTGACTTCGGGGGTGGTTTTCACCCCCTTAAAGTGCATATCCGCCGATAAAAAAATTCATCTCTTTTATTTTTTGATGTACTATCACATATCTTAGTATTATTGAAATCGGAGAAGGACACCTGGGGTACTTTCCTTTAAGACTCAATCTCATGATAACAAAGTTATATCAGACAGTCTTGATAATGAATAATTCGGACTAGCGAACATTAAGTAAATGTTATTTTATATATAATATAATATAATATTTACTTAATATTAATATTATATTATTAATATATAATACTCTAGTATTCAGTAAATAAATAATAGAAATAATTTCAAGTGATAAGGTTCATGCCATAAGCTGAATTATGAAAATACCATTGCAGGCGAAACATGAAGTTTTGGCCAACTTATAATATTCGATGATTTATATTACCAGATGAAAACCGCTCCACCCATACGTCAGTTCAACAATTAGACGCTATTACTGTCACATCGAATCACTCTTCTGCTTGCATTCTTTACATTTGCTTTAATCTTTACTTCATATATTGATCAAATGTATTTTATAGTCCTGTTGTGCTGTTCATTGATGAATAAATGAATATAATATTTGTGCTGAAATTTTATCTGTGTTATAAATTTTATTCACTGCCTACCTACTTCAGCCCACGACCTAACTATCTTTGAGCATCAAACCTGTCCAAAGTACGGTACAAATAATATTGTCAAATTTTATAGCAAAATGCATTTTGCAAACTTACTACTATATAATATAAAGGAATATTTCGATTATCAATTCTTTATTTGATGACGCAGAAGACGTAAACTATATTCACCTCATAACCTCTACTCGTTTTAATTTTCGACTTGATTACTCTGCCTTGATTGAGTGAAATATATATGTTCATTGGTGCAATTACACTGACGGCCATAAAACTTCTTTTTCGCTTTTTATAATTTTTTATTATACATTGTTTCGTTTTTGTATACTATTTAATGTGTTTTAATACTAATTTATGAAAATATTATTATACCATATTATATTATTGTTTGTATCATGTGTTATATCTGATTTCAGGTAAAGCTGTTACAAGTAAACTCAGAAAAACTGTTCCTAGAATATACTTTGATGAAAAACAAATCAAATTTAAAAAATCTGGAAATTTATCATATCCAAGGATCCAAAGTTCAAAAATTGCATATTTCATCAAAACTATCATTAAATATTCCTTTATTACAACACCTTGAAAATAGTAAACGAATCGATATTCTGCTGTTTATCGATTATCAATATTTTACGGCTAAAATTAGTATTCTGAAATTATATTTGCCAAAATGCTTAGAAAATTTGTTTGATGAAACCAAATTATCGATTATTTCTTCATTGAATGATAGTAGACATATAACCGAATATATAGACAGGATTGAAAGTTATATTTCTAACGAGGTAATATAATATTTATCTACAATATTACAATATTATTATATTATATAATTAACATAATTGTCATATTTAAAAACTAAACAAATACTTGAATTTAATCATATCTTGTAATAGATAGTATATATTATAATATTACATATATATCTAATGAGTATCTGTGAAAAGAACGAGAAAATTAAAGTCAATATCGATTTATTTGGTCAACTAGCCATCGAAAGAAAAACAACAGAATAAATAGTTTGCCGAGAGGTTTTGGACGTACGCTAATATCAACAAGCATTTACACTTGTTGACCGCGACTATTAGCGAGAGAGAGAGAGAGAGAGAGAGAGAACACAAGAAAAATATGCGGCTACTCACGGACTAACGTTGCACAGTGAAGTAAATCGAGAAAAGTTGTGATTGCATAAGGATAGAAACGTGAGCCCAACGTAGTTAGTTTAACTACGAAGTTATAACAAATATAGGAAAAGTAGTTCGTTCTGAAAAACGTTCATTCGACCTTGAATTTTAAGGTCAAAGTTGCAATATTTGAAATTTTGAGCATTTTTCTTCAGAATGCGTTTAGTTCCGGAAAATTTTTTGTCATTTTTATTGTTAACTAATATGCAGGCCTTCTCTAAAGGTACTTACCTTAGTATTAGTTTATACATAAGTACATACATGTATACTATATCAGGACTTGCGTATTTGAATATTTATTATCCAAAAATAATGTCATTGCAAACTTATTCTCATATAATAGTAAAAGACTGGTAATTGATATACCAAGCTTACACCGTTATTTAATTATATATAATACGGTTATAACATATCATAAAGAGATGATAAAAAATATTTACCTAAATTTCATTTCATTAAGTTCGTTTGATCCTGGCATTTAGTTTTAATGTTATACAGGGTGAGTCATTTTAATTTCCCCAGTTTAATAACTTTTGAAACAAGCAAATTACGCAAAAATGTTTCAGACCAAAGTTGTAGGGGTTCAAGGGGGACATCTAGGGGTGACTTTGAAATTGACCTTGAGCTTGACCTTGACGGCTTTCTCAAGGTCAAGTCTATTTTTTTATTGGGAACCCCTATTTCTGACCTCGGAATCGGAAAGAGCGGGAAATTTTACATCCAGATAACATCTTTTAACATGGGTCAAAATAAACCCTTAAGGTCATGCTAAGGTCAAAACTATCCTGGAACAAGAATCGAACAATGTAAGCAAATAACGAAAAAATGACTCAGAAAAAAGTTGTAGGAGTTCAAGGGGGACGTCTAGGGGTGACTTTGAAATTGACCTTGAGCTTGACCTTGACGGCTTTCTCAAGGTCAAGTCTATTTTTTTATTGGGAACCCTTATTTCTGACCTCGGAATCGGAAAGAGCAGGAAATTTTACAGGATTTAAATTTTTTAAATTTAAAAATTTTTTAAATTTAATTTTTTTTAATTTTACGGGACTATTCTTGTTTCCGTTCCCTATCCTTTTTTATTTTTCACCGGACTGTATGATTATTATTAATAAATTTCAAATATTGGAAGTTGTTGCTAATAATTTGCTATTACAAGTCTATTAAATTAATGAAACTATTTCAGTATCAATCTGATGTTCTGCAAAGAAATAAGAGTAAAAGTTAAATACATAAGGATAAATTTCATGTTCAATGAAGAATCTATTACATTTGGAAGTCGTTTAGAAAGTAATCGCAATACGTTCAGTCGTGATTTCAATTTTGAAAAAGCTTTAAATATTACTTTTGTTTTAACCATGCTTGTGTTCATTGTATCACTATCATTATTTCTTCATATTTGAATAAGAGACCTTTCTTATTGCCATCGATCATATGAAATCTAATTTGGACAATATTGCCTCTGTTTTCAGTAATATTTAATTTGTATCATCTTTCTATGATCTTTGCCTTTGTTGATTTGTATTGAGGTTTTTTAAAAAAATCTTTTAAATATGGCTGATTTTACCCCAACAGAGATAGTTGATATGATTTGGATTTTAGGAGAATGTAGAGGTAATTACCGTGAAGCGTCAAGGTTGTATCGAATTCGATACCCACAAAGGCGCCATCCTGATCACCGTACCATTCATCGTCTTGAAGAAAGAGCTCGACAAGGGCATCTATGAAGAAGTCGACCAAGACATGAGTATGATGATAGAGATGCTAGGGTTTTGGTTGTCTTAGGATTGGTTCACCTAAATCCTCATATCAGCAGCCGACAAATAGAGAGAGAAACAGGAATACCTCAGAGAACCGTTATTAGAATTTTAAGAAGTAATAGATATCATCCGTATCATATTACCTTAACGCAAGCATTAAACGCTAATGATATGAGAAACAGAGTAAATTTCTGTCGGTGGGCTCTACAGATGATTTTGCAGAATCCGAATTTTTTTAATTATGTCCTTTTTCCTGATGAAGCTACGTTTCATAGTACTGGCCAATTGAATCATCACAACAGTCATTATTGGTCTGATCAGAATCCTCACTGGTACAGACCAGTCGATAATCAACATCGTTGGAGTGTAAATGTATGGTGTGGAATAGTTAATGGTCATCTCATCGGGCCATTCTTTTTTGAAGAAAACGTCAACGGCAATGCTATTTTAGAACTTTTAAGGGATCATCTCCCACTTTTACTTGAAGACGTAGATCTTGAGACTAGACGTCGAATGTGGATACAACTGGACGGTGCAGGACCGCATTTCGCTTTAATTGTACGAGAGTTTTTAAATAGAAATTTCCAACAAAGGTGGATTGGAAGAGGTGGTCCAGTTGCTTGGCCTGCACGATCACCGGACTTAACTTCCCCAGATTTCTTCCTTTGGGGATACTTAAAAAATACTGTGTTCGCCGAAGCGCCCACAACAAGGGAGAATATGATAGAAAGGATTAGAGTTGCATGTAGACAAATCTCTAGAGATATCTTACTGCGCACTATTGAAAGCTTTGAACAGAGGCTCAGGCAATGCATCGACGTAAATGGTAATAATTTCGAGCAAAACCGATAGGAAATAAGTTTATTCTAGTTTCATCACGAATTGTGAGAGGCAAGGGGACTCACATTAATAAAGCACCCCAAATCGTGAGAGGCAAGGGGATTCACGTTAATAAAGCACCCCGAATCGTGAGAGGCAAGGGGACTCACGTTAATAAAGCACCCCAGAGGGAACATAATCCTATTACGTCCACGTCGTTGTTCCTGGGTAGTGCTAAAGATAGGAAGTTTATGATCTTAAACATCAGCATCGTTAGTACATGGCCAGTCCCTTATTCTTTGGAAGTTTATTTAACAACGGTCATATGCGATAAAAGCTTCGCCTCGAAATGTAACAAAAATAAGAGAATTTTCAAGAATTTGACCTTTGCTTCATATTGAGAATAGAAGTACGACAAAGGTCTTCGATGCTCGTTAAACCTTTTGATGTTTGAAAGCGGCTTCAATTTCTTAAGTAAAAACTGAAATATTGTTTATGTTCTTATGAAAAAAAACTAAATAGATACTTGAACGTAAAATTTCCCGCTCTTTCTGATCCTGAGATCAGAAATAGGGGTTTCCATTAAAAAAATAGAAATGACCTTGAGAAAACCGTCAAGGTCAAGCTCAAGGTCAATTTCAAAGTCACCCCTAGATGTCCCCCTTGAACCCCTACAACTTTGGTCTGAAACATTTTTGCGTAATTTGCTTGTTTCAAAAGTTATTAGACTGGGGAAATTAAAATGACTCACCCTGTATATATACAAGCGTTAGCTACCCGTTAAACCAAACATTTCAGACGTACCAGTATGAAATCTAGTGAATAAGACTCACTTTTATTCATAACTCGAAATTCAGCTATTTAAATTAATTCGATATCTTGTAAGATTGATTGGCTCATGATGACTACTCGATCCTCTTCATATTCCGCGCCAAGCGCTACTCCCAGTCCGCTCGCGGTGCGAGCACTTGCTTTCGCGGTTGGCGACGAGGCAGGGAAGTGCTGCCTCCTGGTGGCGAGAGTTGTCTAGCCGGTAAAGGCGCCACAGCCACTCCCCCCTTGGAGGTTGCCTGGGTTGAGGGCAACCCTTGTTCTGGGACCAGATGGGTTGTTGGCTCCAGCGGCGAGAAGCAGACACGCCTGGGCGGTAAGGGTACCGGCTGCCGCAGGTCGTCGGCGATATAACCAGCTACCAGAAGCGAAATGGAGATCGTTGCTGGTCTGCCATCCACGTCGATGGTATATCTGCAGTCGTCAAGCCTCTTGATGACTTTGTGTGGGCCCGTGTACGGTGGAGAGAGCGGCGCCTGAACTGCGGCCACCCGCTTATAGACATGTGAGCAGGTGCGAAGGTCTTGATGCATAAAAACTTTCGTTTTGATGTGGTGAGCTGTGGGCGTAGGCTGCACTGCGCGAAAGTGGTCTCGCAGCGAGTCCAGAAACGAGCTAGAAGAGATAGGCCGGTCGTCCTTAACGAAAAACCCTCCTGGCACTCTTAGCGAGGTGCCAAAAAGCAAGTCCGATGGTGACGCTCCGAGGTCCGGCTTGAAGGCTGTGCGAAGTCCCAGCAGAACGGTTGTGAGAATATCCAACCACGGCACGGCAGTGTGGCAGGTTAGCGCAGCTTTTAGCGTACGGTGCCACCTCTCTACCATACCATTTCCTTGCGGGTGGTAAGGCGTTGTTCTGATACGGGTTGATCCAATCAGATGAGCTAGAGCAGTAAAGAGTGCTGACTCAAACTGCGGACCCTGGTCAGTTGTGATCGTCAGCGGCGTGCCGAAAACAGAGATCCACTCCCTGTAAAAAGCTGACGCAACTGTCTCCGCGGACATATCCTTTAGCGGAATTGCGTGCGGCCAACGAGTGAAGCGGTCTATGATTGTCAAACAGTATCTGTGCTCCCTTACCAAGGGCATGACAATGAGATCGAGGTGGAGGTGGCTGAAGCGCGCCTCAGGCACCTTAATGTGGTTTGGTTGGTTGCGGGTATGACGGTAAATATTAGAGCGCTGACACGGAATG